GCGTCTATCCTTATATTATGTCTATGAGCACAGGCACAACCACTAGAAGGAAACAAACGCACCATGGAGGAGGTTCCCATTGCCCATTATAACACTTTCATCCTATTGGCTGAAAAGTTGCCAGGCGACAGTACTTTTTTTGTTTTGAGAGAGAGCAGAAAAGAATTCGCAAGAGCAGAGAGGTTTGCCAGCAGCGAGTTAATAAGTGTAGATTGAAGCTTTGAGTGCAAGCATTACAAGTTTTGAGAAGAAACACATGAAATTCTGTTTTCAAGCTGAAAATGTGTGTTCTCTACTTATGGCAGTAAAATTCCCCCATAAATGCGCATTTGAAGGAGACAAGGGCTGAACAAGGGTGGGAGATTGCGGTAAGCTTCATAGCTTCAAAATGGCCTATATAAGTCACAGGCAAACATTAGCAATGTAAAATTTACAACCTCTACACAGTCCACGCCTCCAGGAAGCAATCGTTTTTCAACAGCTGAGAGCCCATACCCTCTGTATGAAGCAAAGTGTACAAAGGGTCGGTTTTTTACCAGGCTACTGGCAAGTTAAAACCAAATGCCATACCAACTGTCTATCCACAAAACGCTGCCTGGCGAACAAAATAAGCTGGGAGAAACAACAGAGGCTGGTAACGCTGGGAAATCTTTTAAATAACAACGAAGCTATTGCCACCGGTACGGAAAGTGAAATCATGGATCCTAAACAGACAGACAGTATCTGTCATTCATCGTTTCATTTACGAAGCTAAAGTTGGCAACATCAGCACAAACACCAGCTTCTTCTGCAAACTCCTTTCTCTTCCTCTCTTTCCTCCTCCTCTTAACACCTTGTGATTTCTACATTGCCACTTTTCAGTTTAAATTGAAATGGAATGTTACTCATTGCTGTTTTAGCTGGACGGAGTTAGCACTAGGCGAACTAGCCTTTCGTTTACCCAGAATGCATTGCAGTTTATACAACATGGCGAGGTCCGTAGGCAGTATTTTTTATAAAAATTTATAAAAACAGCCTATAGTATTTAACTTGAAATATTTCTCAAAATATTGTTGCAACTAATAGTGGGTCATTTTAAGGACGTGTGAAGGCCAAATAATACGTTTGATTCTGCGGTGGACCACTTAGCTGATAACTCCTCACATTATCACTACCTGTGGAAATTTCACTTGGACTTCACACAGCTTTAATTCTGTGCCTCTTCACTTTTCTGCCCTATAATTTGAACGTATATTCAAATAGCAATTAACCAGAAATAAATTTAAACTCTCCTACCAAAACAGACATTCTTAGGTCAACTGGTGTTCTTTAGTTTCTCAGTTTATGATTCATGTTTTAACACCCTGAAAAATAAACAGGAAATCAAACCAATCCAGTGATGGATCCAAGGTTTAACAAACATTATGCTTTCGGGTTGTTTTGAATCCAGGGAGCGTTTATTGTTTTGTTTTTTTTTCTTGGACTTCAGAATCTATCTGTGAGGAACACAGATTATCTATGAAAACTGAAAGAAAGAAAGAAATTATAATACCATTTTTTAATGATATGTGTCACACCGTTCTTTCTCTTCAGTCTGCAGGGGATGAGCTCTTTGTGCTTGGAGATCAAAGGGGGTGTGCATGCGCACTGCACGACGCGCTCTCTTGACGCTCTGACTGGACTAAACGCAGGGAAATAAAGTGCTCATCTGTTTTTATTGGCAGCTGTGGCGCGTCTCAGACCGCTGTCGTAACTCGATCCACCGGAAAAAGTGGTTCGGTTTTCTGTAAAAGTCCATCTGTACCATCAGACTGACTGACTGCTGAAGGTGGAGGGGATTCTCTCAAGGACCTGTTGATCGTCTGCTACAATGGAGGTGAGACGGAGCACTGCGCTGCTTCTGATGTCCGTCTGGTTGTCATAGTAATGGAGCCAAATTGCCTTTGTTTACAGAAGCAGCTTCGCAGATTGACTAGCAAATTAACAGCAGTTAGTTCGCAAAAATGTTACCGTAAATTAGACCAGTATTTTTTATTATTTTTTTCTTAGAACCCATTTAGAAGCACGGCTCTAATAAGAACTTTTAGACGTGCAATAAGAGCCATATAAACATTCTATCCCGATGCCCATCATTGGCTCCTAATTAGATTTCAGATGAGATCTTGTCATTTCCATGCCGTCGTTTTGCAAATCAAATCATGTCACTTGTGTCAGGCTTTGAAGCCATACTCTCCTCCCCTCCACCCCTACTTAAGTCAGAAGGGTCGGGAGGCCGTGTGTCGCAGTTAATTATCATCAGGGGCGGATAAAGCCTTTTGGAGCAGATTTAAATCCTGCTAAAGAGCATTAGGTGACAAGCAAGGCGCTTGGAAACAAACATGGCACAAGCCCTGGAGGGAGAAGATATATGGGGGAAATGATACAAGCTGATGAACAGATGTAAAATAATTACTTCTAAACTAGTTATTTTCTTGGAAAGTGAAAGGAGGTTATTAAAGAGCTGCAATATTCTCAACAAATTCTATCTTAGAGGAGGAATATGTTTCCACAGATGGAATGAAAACCTTTAAAAATCTGCGAAGCTTCTCTAAACTTATTTTCTACGTTACAGGAACCAAGTGGACAAGCATGATATCGGCTTGAGACGTAGAGGAAAATTTGGACTCAAGAACTCCCTCTGATAATAATGGAGATCATGGGTGAGTGTGTTTGGTGACCTTTTTTAGATGTAGGAGTGTATTTGATTCGTCTCCTCCCCCTCCAAAAAGAAAAAAAAAAAGCGTCGCAATAACATCTATACACTCATGGCTTAAAATTAGGGTGTAAGACATGGCCGCTGCAGTCAGACAGGCACGAATAGTTACATGAGCAGGTGGCGCTGGCCTCACACCCCTGTCAAAAGTTTGCAGGGAGGACTTTACAGGGTTTTAGCTTCTGCCACAAACAATTACCTCAGTTGTGGCTTGCGCTCATTAGTACCAACTCGGCTAAATGAGCAAGGACAACATGACCTGATACAATTGGCAGTCTACTGCTTTTGTTCTGAGACGTACCAGACAACCTAATGTTTCCTCATTAAGTTCACTGGGGCCAAACTTTAACTTAAACTTTATTGAAAATGTTGGAAGAACTCGCACTGGCGCTTCTCTGGGTCACCGATGTCACTTTACTGCAGATATACAAGCTTCTTTGCTTGGACCATCCAACCACATCGCCTTTAATATTTGTCGCTTTTCCCTCACACATCAACACTCCCCGACTTTCTGCCAATGTCAAAATTAGAGTAAAGTCATTAGAATGAGAACATGCATCCAAACACATATGATACATTTCCAGCAATTAATTATAGGTTTTGTCTGTCATGAAAAGCATTTGACTATACAAACTTAAACAGCAAACATATAAAAACACCATAACAAAACAAGCAAATTGTTTAATTAAAATCACCAAGGATACTCAAGGAAATGTGCGAAAAACACACTAGTAGTGTTTCCATTGGGATTAAAAGCTAAATCCAACCTCACAGTTTCTGTCGTAATTAGGAGGGTAAATGGCAGCCAGGTCCGGCTTACCAAATTAATTTAATTAACTGAGTGTGGTCGGTAACTCTTCCAGCTGTTTGATGAAACAATGCCAGGCTGGAAAGAGATCAGCACTACAAAAAGAGAGTTAATTATTGGTGCTCAACAATCTGAGAAGGGTTTGAAGATTTTTTTTTTCCAAAACAATTTCAAGTCAATTGTTGCTCAGTAAACAACAGTACATTCAAATCATGCACATTCTCATTGAAAATGAACAAGAGAAGAGTGTTCAAGCCTTAGTCAGCAGATTAACTGGAAAAATGCCAAATATGGTTTTATTTGTGTTGATTTGTATTCAGTCTTCAAAGAAAATTGAAATAATAATAATAATTGTAAGCTTAAATGGTTCTAGAAAGGTATTTTTGTCCTTGCAGTGTGTCTTTTGGAACTCAATTGGTTTGGAAAGTGTTGTTAAGGGAAATGTTTGCTAAAAATGTTCATTTTCAGAGTGGCATTAGTGTCAGCTTCCACACCACAAGCCAGTATTGACAAAATTATCTGAGTGAGACCTTATCACTTGCAAGAGCTTTGTGTTGCAGAAACGGTCTCTAAATGCACACATGCACACCAAGAAACCTTTGTTGTCTGCTGAGATGCATCAGGGATGGATCAATTCTAACCTGCTAGACCAGGGACAGTTTACAGTATTAAGGTGGAAAAGGTTTGGAAAACTTAGAGTTTGAACATCCCTTATTTTCCTGCAGTTTAAAGCTGTTCTAATGAGATGCAATAGAAACCCTGGTTTGAGCACAAAGCCTGTGTTGCTGCCTTGCAGCTGGCTGAAAAAAGGTTTTCCCTCAAATTTAGCTGCATGAAAATATTTCTAGTGAGGTAATGCTGCTTTAACAATAATGTCCGTTAACCAGCCAACTACAGGCTCTGAGACCAAGCAGTTAGCCTGTCTAATTGTTAAGTTGATTTAAGGAGCAGAATTTTGAAAACATATGTTTTCCTCAATACGCAATTTTTATTCTATATTTCTTACTTAAATTTATGTTTGTCAAAATGATACATTAATTTTAAAGATAATAGTCCTGTTTCAGTATTTTGTATTATTGGAGCAGGAGTGGGATCATTTATCATTTTTTCTTTTTTTTATTAAAGAAGTTTATTATTTTATACATTTTTGTTATGATTTTTTTGTAAATAATGTAACATAGTGCAACTGGGGTTGTTTTACTCCATTGTATCCTATCAACCCACTATTTGGCCTATGTGCTTAAGTTTTGTGTCTGTGTGTGTGTATAGGAGGCTTTACGGGCCTAATGTAAATTTGTAACATAAGAAAAGCTGTAAAAGCACCCAGCAACCCCATAACGGATGAAAATGGTATTTATTAATTATCTGAAACCAACTTACACTAGAGTTAAATGTGACTCCATATAAGAGTTGAAGCTTAGCTGAAGTTTTATCATGCAACCATGACATTAAACACGAAGAGCAAAAATAGTGTTGCCACAGTATAGTCAAAGTAAAGAACTTAATCTTTGTCGGAAAAAATGTGCCAACTCAGTAAGCAGCGTGAAGTGTACCAGGCAAATAGGCCAAAATTTAAACCAATGTGAAACTTATCTTTTATGTACGGCTTTTGCTTCATATTTTAAACTGTTTTTACACCATTACTAAAAAAAATAAACATCTTAAAATATATGGAAAAATTCATCTTTTTGTTTAGTTATTGCTTAATTATTTGGAATGATTGAATTGTTGCTTAATGTTAAATAACAATTATGTTCCTAATGTTACCTTTTTGTAACCCAGAAAGGCCGAACTTTCTAGCCTTTAAAATCAATTTTCTCTGCAGATGCTCAGTGCGCCTTAGAAGCTGTGGAAAGACTGCAAGCCAAACTGAAGGAGCGAGGGGAGGCTCCCACTCAGGAAAAGCTCTCTGTGCTGAAGACTGTCCTGCAGAGTCCTCTTTTCCTGCACATACTCAGCTTGCAGCAAGCTCAGCCAAAGCCTCCGGTGAAGGTATAGCACAAGCCTCTTGTGTGGGTGTTTGGTTTGTATTGAATGATAAGGGGGAAGAGGTGGGATTCTCAAAATACTGAATGCAGGGACCAAACTAGATGAGTAATCAGCTTACCTAAGCTTACCCCTTAAGCTACGATAGATAGAGTGTGGGAGGGATGGATGGTGCTTATCATGACCGCAAATTGGGCGGAAATGTCTGTGTTACTGTTTGGAGTTATGGCCTAATGTCACATATGTTTGCACAGCCTGATACACAGTAAAATGATCAGCTATAGAATTTGGCAGATTATATCACCTTATGATTTTGGTTTCCATCATGCCTCCAAAGCAGCTTTGCTCCGTAGTCATCCTTACACCCCTGAGGGTTTTGTTTTAAGGCTTTTGATCCTAAATGTTTACTGGTGTTTCTAAAACTTTGGGGTTTTGTCTGATCACATGTTTGACATTAAAGAGCATAGAAATTCGGTGTCGTTCCTTCAACTCCTGTGACGCAGTTTTTACAAAGTGAATGGTGGGACTGTAGTGTATTCGACAGTACGTCTGCAGTTATATTTAATTGGCACATATACAAAGCAGACATGTTAGTCCACAGAGTCCACAGTGGGCAAAAATTCCCCATAGCAATTTTGGAGAAAAACATCATTGCCAGTTATCACAAACACTTGATGGCGGTTGGGATCAAGCATGGCCCAACTGGGAGCAATGACCTTTTCTCATAGGGTCAGTCAAGTATTGTGCCTGTAATGTACACACAAACAACTTTTTAAATTACTTTATGAGTCCACTATACCATTTTTATTGGACTAAACAGCAAAAACAAAAGAAAAATGGAAGGGGGCAAATACTTTCAACAGCTCTGTAAATATGTTGACAGGGCATGAAAATGACTTTATAGAAGGATGAACTAAAATGTTTTAGCAGAAGTAATGGCAGCTCCCATCAGCATTCAGACAGTCTGTTAAGTAACTAAGCGTTTTATAGAATTTGTGGCTTTAATTAGTCAACAAGTTTATAATTTGGAGAACCCACTATGTTGCAGTGGAGCTGATTAGATAAACCGAACGTGTTTAATGTTGTTGATTGCAACAGATGGGAGATTTAATATTGTATGATTCATGAAACGCAGAACATACTTCATAAATAAGCTATGCAAAAATCCTCATCATACTGGAAGGCTCCCAAACCTTTTCTTTAATCTGAATCTGTTGGACATTTATGACACCATTTAGACATTTAGCTCACTCGTTAGTGGTAAGTACCAAAGCTTGCTAACTGCCTGATGGGGTGTACTCTAATAGGATACCCAATGGCCTTCACACACAAGCGTCATTAAATTAGCAATCTTGTATATGCCTGAAGCCATTTAGTATATTTGCATCCCAAGAAACATGGCACTGGAGTATAGAAAAGGTTTGAATTTGTACCAGGAAAATGATTTGTAGCATTAGCAATATATCCTTAGGGTAAAGTTGTGCAAATCTGCTTAGAAGTGGTTTACTTCTTTTTATTAATTCTGAAAATTGGACTTCAGACCGCTGTATGTCATGAACCCAAAGAAGAGGAAACGAATAGGGTACAAATCAGGAAAGCCTGCCTTTATGATGACTGTGGACATCATATTGAGTTCTACCAAACAATAAGCAGATGTGAGATCATCATATCCTAATCGAAATATGGACACTTAACATCAAAATCAATTTTAGTATAATAAAGTAATTTGTCCTATACAGGAAATTTTCCAGAGGCATTTTTTGTGAAGTAATTTGTGAGACACCCACCAGTGATGGAGACATTTTATTTTTCTTTTTGGAATTAATCTCAACAGCACAGTATGCCACTCATTGTACAGCACTTTGTCCTGGTCCTACCAGCCAGCATTGTGCTTCAGAATCTCAACATGCTGCAAAAAAGAATCAGCCCCTTGGGCCCTACTTCTGTGTTTTCTCATAATATCAAGAAAAGTGTGTTAGGACTGTCATTGTCCATGCTTACTAATGCTAGTGTAGAATTAGCCTCCAGAAGTGTCCCTAATTTAGACTAATTTTAAAAGAAGTTAGCTTTCTCTGGAAGAGTAAGTTCTTTGGACATTTTTTATTTCATTTATTTGATTCAGGTGCCAAATATACCCTCTGTGTGTTTTTTTTTTTTTGGGGGGGGGGGGGGGTGTTACACAAGAATGTCAC